TATTTATTTTGTTATAATCTATTTGTTTATCTTTATTTTTAATTTTTTAAAAAAAATTTTTAAGAGAATTAATTCTTTTTTATTATAATATTCACTACATAAATTTATTTAAACCTTTATAGATAATCAAATGGTTAATTAATATTTTTTTAAAAAAACTTGTTTAATTTTAAAAATCAGATTTTTAATAAAAATTTTTTTTATAAATTAATAAAAAAAAATTTTTTTAATTTCCTTTTATTATTAAAATCTTCAATAAAAATTTTAATCAAATAATGATGCGTGTAAAAATTTGTAAGATCATACTGTATATTTATTAATTATATGAAAATTACAAATAATTTAGAATTTTTTAATTTGCTATACAAACTTAAATAGCAAAAAAAAAAAAAAAAAAAAAAAAAAATCAATATTATTATAAATAAAGTTTTAAATATTTAACATTAATGAATAACGATAGATAAAATTAAGATTGCATTTAATTTTATATGATAACTAATTTAAAACTCTTTATTCTTTATTTGGTTATTTGAGAAAATTACAGGTATTTCGCGTGCTAGTACGTACGTTATTGATTTTAAAGTCATGTGATCAACCATGGTACTCGGCATAGTTCATCTGCCCTCAGAAAGGAAATTCGCGCCAGATATATGACACTTCTTAATTTGGAAGACATGATTCTGTAGAGAAACAGCAATAGGCCAAGTATGTTACTGTTGTAACGATGGACTGAACACCAGCCAATAAAAATATTCCCGTACTCGTGCAATATTTCAAATTGTATAAATAGGCATGCCTTTGGGCCTTAGAAGAATTTCCTCAGAAAACAAATGAAAACGGAAAATCGTAAAAAAAACAATGGTATTTCATGTGACATTTGCACGCATTCTCATCGAAGATGTGATCCGGTCTTCTGCCAGAATTGCGTCTTGGAAAAAAGAGAATGCAATTTCACAAGTGACAACTTAATATGTGATAGTTGCCTCGCGAAAAATAGGTTAGATTATGCCAGGATGTGTGAAGAATGTGAAAAGATACTGGGAAAAAATCCGAAGCATAATTGCATATACAGTGCAAAAAGGAAACCCGGTAGACCCAAGCGAGATCCACAAGAAAACATGAGTAAAGTCAAACTCTGCGAGGAAGATGGTATGTAAAAACATTTGATAACATTATTGTTTATGGAAATCAAATATGGCTGCCACCAACCATGGTAATTTTAGGTATTGATAATAATGCTAAAGAAATAAGTAAAGAAAAATGTGAGGATGAAAATGAAGAAAACAAATGCGAGGAAGATGAACAAGAAGGAGAAGAAAACGGATGCGAGGAAGATGAACAAGAAGGAGAAGAAAACGGATGCGAGGAAGGGATCGTATTAGACACATCTCCATTTAGGATTCCACGAAACAATCTATGTGAAGATTTGATCTACGTCGCATTTCCGACACCTGATTGTAACTCTTGTAATAGCCAAAATTCTGCGGAAATTTTCACGGGGGGATTCGAGGAATTTAGTATATGGATGCTCTCCAAAAATGATAATTTTTGGCTTGAGTATTTGGATTGAGTAGTTATGCGTAAAATTATAAAATCATAAGAAAATGTCACAAGCCTCAATATGTTTTCTATTTAAGTAAATTCAATTTAATTTATAAAATTTATGTACAGTATAATATTATATCAGAAGTATAGTGTGCGGGTAGTTATTTTTGAAGCGGCAGAGATTTTTCGGACCTTATAATTGAGAAATTTGCAATTTGTATTATTCAAAAAAGGGGACCGAAAAAATCATAGTGCCTTCAAAAATAATTGATCGCCCATCATTATGCTTTTTTTAATTACAGTATATCGAGTCTATGCAACCACGATTTTGTACTCTTAATTAGAGTGTCATAAAAGCAAAAATTTTTAATGTAAATTCGCCTGTACGGGTGACACACGGGGAACAACTCCAGCGAATAAAAATCGCAACTTAAAATCCTCTTGTTACAAATGGATATTTTTAGTAAAATAAAAACAAGAAGCGAACCAGAATCGTTAAGTATGCCACAATTAATACATCGTGAATCTCTGAAGTCTCTACAAAATCATACTTCGCCTCTCTCGATACGCTGCAACAAATGCAAAATTAAAATTTACCTACAAATCTCTTTCAAATAACCAGCATTACGTATGGTTCTTTCTCGTATAGTTATATTTTCTTTTCGCGATAAAGTAATGATAAATGATTGATAAAAAAAGAAAAAATTT